AATGAGATTTTGTGCGCGCACAACGCCATACCAGACACACATGTGCGCACACCGATCGTTAAAAATCGGTACGCGCACAAGCCCATATACGAGTAAATCGCATGCGCATACACACCGATCGAACGCAGTTGTGTGTCGTGTATGTTCTTTTTGAGCCAGAGAACATAAAACGATGGAATTAACCCTGTGAAATATCAACATTGTTTTGATTTTATCTAAAGGAATCTGCTTTGTTAACGTGATTAACCAGGAAATGTTGTTAATTAACCGAGAAATGAAAACATTTATGCCATGCGATTTCCACGAGGATATTTTGAAGAGATTGAAGATATGGGGCTTGATGGTTGCAATATTCACTGATGGTTTTATTATTATGTTGGGATATCGTGGATCGTGGATTGGGATGGTAAAATAAAACCATGTTTTTCCATAAATTGAACAGTAGCATTTCAAAATCTGTTTAAATTTCTTTGATTAAAAATATATGTGAAATATTCGGAAAGGTTACAGTTGTTTTAGCTTAATTCTTGGGAAAAAAAATTATACAGTTTTGTAAGACAATGTGGATACAAAGACATGATGTCGCCCTTCCAGAAATCCTTCTAGCACTGACCAAAATAAGAGAATGGAAGAATAGAATGACTGCAGTTAAAGCGTTGAATCTGTGATGTTTTGTCACTGACGCATCCACTTGGTGTAATTCTGCAGAATGAATCAATCGACCTTTGGAAAACATCAAACGTCGTAGCAACATTGAACACACGAAAAATGCATGCTGATCATCACTTTAATAAAATTTTTTTTTTATTTTATTAGAACATGTTGTCGTCAGAGTCATCGAAACAATAACCCATCTCGAAGCTATGCAGAATTTCAAAGGGTATCTGTGGACATTCCGCTCATTGGCGCGGTCATGCAATATTTAAAAACGCGCTTTTGCGATGCAGGTCTTGAAAGTTTAATTTGAGTCAGCTGATACCAAAATTAAACCCGAACTGAGAAGTAAAAGATAAAACTGTATTCATTGAATGACTAGTTAGACGTTCTGGGAAAACCTTGCCAAGAAACCAAGAACTGCAAAAATCCAAGCTCAAAGCAGAAGTACCGCTTGAACAACAATAATGGAAGATGTAAATGACTACGAGAACGCAAATGCTTTCTGCCTTAGAAAACCCTCAACACTTGCGATAAGGATATATAACTGACGATTCCTACTCTTCTTCAAGTACTTTGCACTTTGCCTACCACAAATGCTAGCGCTGAATTATGATTTTCTTCTTTCCGCCAAATCAAAACTTGGCTCAGAACAACGATGCTCCAGAAAAGATTAAACGGCTTAGCTCTCCTCAACATATACTACGACATTGCAGAAGAAGTAATAGAAATATTTAGTAAAATGAGCAAACACCGTATTGATTTTATACTGTAAAATAAATGTTGAAATACTATATGTATCAAAAATAAAATTATAGTCAGTCTACAGTTTTAAAAATGTAGTACAAAATTATATAGTTGACCCCCAAAAATTGTAATCTGGGGCCGCCCCAGATATAGAGTAATACATATACACAAAACAAAAAAAGACAAAAAAAAAACAACCTGGTCGTTTTAAAAACGTACAGTACCTTGCCTTTTAAGATGGTGTTATGAATATGAGATTTAAGTTTGGAGTCAAGTTATTGCAGACTACTTATTGAAAAAAGCAAAAATACACATAGTTATGCACAGTTTAAGATTTCGAGGAATAAATTTTCCAATTACAATTAGATCATAACTTTGGATTATTATCCAAATCGGTATACTTGTAATTTAAACTTAGTAAATGATATTATAAGCCGTAATTTTACTCCCTTGCTCTATTTTTTAAGATAATTATTTTACTTTTAGTTTTATTATAAATTTAAACTTATATTGGGCGAAGTAATCTTCTAATAAGAAGTAAAACGCCTAGAGATAAGATGCATAGAAAACAATAAGACTCGTGTGCCTTACCGGATCATTGCTCAGCAATACATCCATAGTTGAAATTTATAGATGTACATAAGCATTTGGAGAACCATGAAAAAAATCATTGCGTTCTATCTTATGTTATATTCGTGATTTAATTTCAGCATCGTGTAAAAAATAAAAATCTCGGGTGTGACCGAATCGTGCTGCATTCTCAGTTCGCACAATTAAAAGTACTTGATTGACGAAACAGTTTAAGTCGAGAACAGGGAATTTACATTGTTTGCTCAAAAATAAATATATATTTATAGTGCCACAACATATATATAATATACTCCGAAAGGCTTCCGGGTTGTGGGGATTCATGAACGCTGATAAGGCTAACAACCATTGCTTATTTTAAACTTAGCCATTTGCCTTATCGGCGTCCATGAATCTCTTCAAGCAGGAAGAGGTTAGCCTTACTGAGTATATTATAAGCCATTGCCTTATTGCCTAACTAACGTTTCTCAATATTTCTCTTCGACAAGCGTGGTTGGTTTCGTGGCGTTAATGCTCTAAAATTTTGCAATGTTAGCTTCCTTCAACTCGTTGGCGTTAGCTGCAGCGGATATTTTGAGGTGCTCTTTGACTCCGAACAACTTTACCTTCATGCACAATTTTTTGGGTATTCTACTTCTATCATCAAGTCTTCTAACTCCATCAATCCTTTTTATTTAGCAATAATATACTGAACAACAGTATGTTTTGTTTTTTGTAAATAAAATAATACCGCATACCAAAGAATACATTTTGACCATATTCAAGTAATACCAAACAAGAAAACGATACCTACTTGATAACTGCACTTACAGTGTTAAAAACGTAAGTGCACACTTTTTTTTTGTTTTTTGGCTGCTCAAAAGTGAGTTTATTTTTTGCAATCGATAACATTCAATTTATTTATTGTTCAACTTTTTCTAATACAAACAATATTTAAAATGGTCATATTGCTAATCTTAGTTGCAGTTTAAAAGCTGAAATTGTTCAAAAGAAAAGTCTCTTCAAAGTCAATGCAAGTCAAGTTTTATTTTTCTTCACTGTATATACATAAGTATGTATGCAAACATTGTTGTGTGTATTTTAAATGATTTGTGATGAATTGCAATTAAAAAATAATTAGTGGAAAGTATTTTCAAGAAGCCAGTAGTTACATTTAATAGCCTTTGTTTTTTTTTTTTAATTCTGGAATCACGAAATTTCCGTTGGAATAATCATTAAGTTCTTTGTTGGAAGCCAATACTATATACATCTACATCTAGGGTTATTGTTATTGCTTATTGTACATACATATGTAGTATATGTATATGTTTTTTTTTTTTATTACGATAATTGTAGTAATTGAATTATATCTCTAATGCATTAATATATTATAATGCCATGATGGGTCAATGTATTATAATGTATTAATCAAATGCTATTCTAACTTCGTTCTCTTTACTTCCAATATGAGAGCACTAAGAAAATAAAATATGTATGTATAAGAATATTTAAAAAGCGGCTTAGTTTGTGAAACGCTTCCAGGCGCTCAGTAAAGCCTATTTACATATCCCTTGAAAACTACAGATTTGAGCCATCTTTGAACAAAGGAACAACAAAATACATGCCAAACAAACTCTAATTAAAAGACAAAAAATATTTTGACAAATTTTTTGTAAATTTTTCATTATTGTTAAAGACTTTGTTATAAAAGTTGTTTTCAAAGCACATACAAAAGGGTTTACATATTCAACCTTCATTATCAACGAACTCAAGCGTCTATACAATGTATTATTTGTAAATAGACGTTTTATACTTTAAATATTTTAAAAATAAATAAAGAAATTAGTGTTGAATTACAACAACTAGTTGTAAAAACTCTCTATGTGAGAAAGGGAGTATAATGTTCAAAGTCATTAAATTTGGTAAAAATTGAGGAATATCTCCGGTTTCGGCTGTAGAAATTTCGAAAACCTTGCAAAACGCGAAAACTTCAGTGCATCCAGAAACTGTACGAAAGTCTTGGAGAAATAATAGATTTCATAACCGTGTACTCAAGATGAAATCCTTATTAATACAATTAATAAACAAAAACTTGTTTATTTTCCTCCAAAATATATTGATGCAGAGTAATGTTTTTGGGTTAAAATTTTATTTAGCAAGGAAAATAACTTCAACTCGTTTTTTTGTGAAGGGGAAACAAAAAATTTGACCTAAACACAAAGATACGTTGTTATCAAGAAGTTCCTTTCTACCATAAACCCACTATTCCGGAAATGGGATCTTATTTCAAAAGATTGCACAAAAAAATAGTCAAGAGCCGAAATATTTTTAATAAATTTAAAAAAACTTGGTCAAAATAATTTTTGCCCTTAGTCAGAGTTCGTTTGCTATGTATTTTATTATACCATAGTGCATAGATGGCTTATAAATATATATATGTATATATGTACCTTTGTAAAATTTATATGTGTCACTTAAACAATACTACTATGGGGAATTGCACTTACATACATATGTATAGATATTGATGCTAGAGATATATTTTTTCCTAACTTGACTGTTAGAACTTAATAACAAGATAAATTCTATATTCCTTTCTAAATCATTTATATTGTTAATAATAATTAAATCACATGCCTGATTAAGAATATGCACGTTTGTAAATTTTAAATACATATGTACATAAAGTACAAATGTATGTATTTATAATGAGTGAGCATTTCCGAGAAGTTTGCTATCGATTTATCTTTTTTGTTGTGTCTTTAATGGYAGGTAGGTATACATGAAAATTGCTATTATTTTACTTACGTTTTAAAGACTTCAAATTCAGATTTACTTCATAAGAGGTATATATGTATATTCTTATGTTTTTAAATACATAATTGAAAATATTTTAATAAAAGGAAATACTCCGGATATTTAACAGAATTCTTACTAATTACTAATTAGAAGTTTATAAGTACTGGAATCTGTGGTCCTTCATTGGAAAAAACTCCGTTCTTATTATTTACTATTGATTGAAAAATACATACCTCAGCTTGCGTGGTCGTCTGCACTGGGTTGGGAGAAACAATACCAATTAAGGCTACTAAGGTGACTAAAACTATGAATACTGAACACTGTTGGCAGGATCGCATTTTGTAGGTCAATCCTTCGATTGGTGATAATCTAACGCTATCTGTGGTTGACTGACTTCGTTCAGCAGTCAGACACTTCATTGTACTTCGTCTCATTGAGTTATAGTGTAACATCATTCAATTATATACGCTGTTTGCAACCGTATAGTTTAGCTTGTAGTAATTGTGAATAGCTCCTCTTTGATTAGATACGATTTCGGTTAAAAACTCGATGAATCTGAAGAAAATATTTATAAGTATTAATATAAGTATGTGCATATGTCAAACGTATCTTATTTTTTAAAATAATTAAAAACGTAATATATTCAATACCAATTTTAATTTTAGATTTATTGAACTCCATGAAATCTATACTAAAAACTGTAAATAAATCCAAAAACGATTGCTAAATATCGAACTATTTAAATCTTAATATATTATCTTATTATGTAAATTCTTATCGAAAAATTTTGATTTTTAAGATTATAATTGAATGATGTTTTGACTACGAGTAGTGCACTACAGAAATGTGATGGTGGTTTTGCGTTCCTTCAAAAACTGTGCAAAAAATTAACTCAGATTCATCACATATTATGTGAACAATGTTTAGAAAGAACTTTTTCGCTATATATGCGGTAAAGTCACTTGGTTTTCCTTACAAATTTTCTAAATTTGACTTTAGTTTGTGTTTTAAAGCAGCATTATAAAACAGCAGTATGGACCACTCATATACATCATTGAATTAATTAGTCTCAGCCTTTGAGGAAAAATTAAAATCAAACCAACAAACTGCAAATAAAGGCATTTTACTTATCGAAATGCAGCTTAAGATTTCATGATTTCTTTTTATGATCTATGATCGATTGTTGCTCTTTTCTAGAGGCGAACAAATGAAAATAGCTGCAAAGCAAATTTAACTTTTTGAAGGCATTTGATAAGTCAATTCATCGTTTCGAAACCCCAATTTACGTATATGATATTACAAAAGTAATATTTCCTCATAAAATTTAATCAATTATTTTAAATATAATAAATTTGATAGGTAATTAATTCCGTGTACGGTACAACTTTAATTTACATTCAAATGTGTATCACACATATTTTGTCCTATTAAATATATACAAATGTGAACCCTCCTAAACAGTAAATAACTATAATAACTAACTTCTCAATTCTTCAATGTTTATTGTGTACAGGGGAAGTAATCCCTTTACTTATACTAACGAATTTTCCAGTCATCATAGCACTTGGAAAAATCCTCGTCGTGATGGCCATGAGAGCCTTCTTCGGTTCAGCTTTTATATCCTCAATTGAGTTAAAACGGTGTCCTCGTAGTGGTCATGTGAATTTGAAAGGTAAATCAGGTAAATCAGGCAAATGTGGTGGTTCGACACGATATTAGTTGAAAATTTGGCGAAATGATCACGAATAACTAATGCAGTATGAGATGGTGCATTATCGCACCTCTTTATTTAATAAAATCAGACATAGTAAAAATAAAAGAATGCATTTTTAGAGCCTCACAAACCGACGGGTATCTCAAAAACCAATGAATATTTTGATGTGAAATTTAGCATAGATGTCACTAACGCGAAGTATAAATTAACAATCCACCTTTCAATTTGATTGAGGGTTATTTTGCAGCACGGTCACCATTAGGACCAGGACTATTATTAAACGAAGATCCGCTGAGGGTTGTGGAGCTCATGATGATGATATCCTCATAAGATGTTAATGCTTTCTATATCTTCGTTGAGCTATAAATTACTATACTATATATATAACAGATCAATTGAAAACTCGGCCTGACATATAGATGATGCTACTTGAAATAAATCCATTGGAGCTTTAGTTTACCCGGACCTTCGAAAAGCGAATGTAAAAATCTGTCGGATCATTAGTTTGTGAATTATAAAATCGCTGTTGATAAAATATCGCTTTTTGAAGGGAAAAATACGGTTGAAGCAAAAACTTATCTAACGAATTTTCGGAAACCTACCCAGCAAAATTAAGGATTGGTTTGCTAAGTTTAGACGTGGTGAAATGAGCAAAAAAGATGGTGAACGCAGTGGACGCCTAACAAGGTTGTTACCGATGAAAACACCAAATTTTAGATGACCGTAAAGTAAAATTGTTTGGAATAACAGACATTCTATAGATGTCAACTAAACGTGTACATCATATCATTCACGACTATTTGGGTATGGGCAATAAAAACAGCAGCGAGTTGATGGTCTTGGATAATAGGGGGGGTCGATTCCGAACTTTTTTCGATGCGGGATTTCTAATAGTGCGGAAAACTTGCCTTAGTACTTCCTGATTCCAATGCAACTTTTTGTTTTGAGATCGGATTGCATCTGCAACCCCAACTCCGGCCTTGAAATTTCGGAAATTCGCCTAAAATCGT